GTGGTTGAAGACACTGATACGGCCAAGTAATTTCTTCTAAATGATGTGATCCTTAGGCATTTGTTTTTTTTTTTTTAAATTATATCAAGTTCGCGGTCTCAATTTAGATCTTCTATGTGAACATGGTAATGGGTATGTTTGTGAAAGAAATAAAATATGCTATATTTTGTAGAGCATTGAGAAACAATGTGGCCTCTCCCTAGACACTTGAAACATTTAATATCACTAGTCTTTGTGCTAGTGTGTGGAGTGATGAGATCTTTATCCTTATCTTTGTTTTTCTCTTTCCTCTTAGCCAATTCTTTGGAGGGTTCTGAAATAATTTCTTTTCAAAAGGTTTTTCCTCCTCCATGTAGTCATTCTTAAGAGATCTAGAGTGAGAGCTTTCTCTTTTAGAAGACAATGGTTAGAAAACTAGGATTATTTTTTTTGGTAATGAAACTGGGACAATTATTGCTTGAAGCCTGCAACAACAAATTAACCTTAAAATGATGGGCATATATTAAGGATTTGGGATGCTTATTCTATATTTTTATCATTTAATGAAAATATGTATAGCATATTTTATTTCTTTCACAAACATACCCATTACCATGTTCACATAGAAGATCTAAATTGAGACCGCGAACTTGATATAATTTAAAAAAAAAAAAACAAATGCCTAAGGATCACATCATTTAGAAGAAATTACTTGGCCGTATCAGTGTCTTCAACCACAAGTTGCAGAGCACGTTTTATAGTAAGCCAATTGCTTTTTGACTCCTAAAATGATCACATGCACAATAAGAGTTAATTATTAAATAACAAACACATAATCTATTTGCATTTGCAACTAAACACCTAGTGTATTATACCTGCTTTTTGAATAGTCCAGCTTTCTCTAAATTGTTTAGCATTGCTATGTGCTCAAATCCATAGCTGTGGAGTAGTTCTCTCCTAAATTGGAAGTTAAAAATATACAAGAAAACACTTAGTAGTCCAAAATAAAATCTGATAGTATCTTGTACGAAAGGAAAAAATGGGAATAATATCAGTGAGTCCCAAGGATCTACATAAGTAACAAAATGAAAAATGAAACAGGATAAATATCAATGAAACATGCAAGCTTGCCTGAAGTAGTCAAAATGCTTCTTTGGCAACCCAGAATTAGTAATAGAAAATAAGATTAGAAGGCGTAGGACTGTTGTCAAAGGCTCTTGCTTATGGATCAGTTCTTCAATATAATCAAAACATCTGCATATATGAACAGCCTAAGTTTACATTATAAAAACCTCAAGTTATGGACATGCAGGCATGCAGCAAACTGTGATTGTAATGCATCAACAGCAAGTCAATTGCAGACAATGGCCCAGCAAACAATACCATTTTAATTTGATTTTGCAAATGAATCATTTGTATTCTAAGTTCATTCCTTGTCATTTGAAGTTCATCCAAAAAGTATAAGCTGCTTCACATGTATCTTAAGCTTTAAATTATATGGAGTCAAATATTATGAACACCAAATAAAGCTCAATTGTCTTTTATAACCAAAACTATAATACGACATTATGCACATACAACCAATTTTAAGTCTTAATTAACAAATTACTATTAGCAGTTCAGGATAACAGATACCTGATGCACTACCTTATTGTTTACAAGTAAAACAAAGCTTGGATTGCAGTATCCCAATGGCAATTTCCAAATGATGTCTCTGATGATACGATTCCCAAATGGCATTTTAGATTTTATTCACGTGTAAAATGCCAGTCCACAAAGTTTACTAAAATCTTGGTTTGTAAGTTTTGACAGTGAAAGTTGATATTGAATGAAATTTTGGGCATAAATGTTGGGCTCAGCTGAATGTTCCTCAAATTTTCATGGTGAACAAGAAAAGGGCACAAAATATATACCTCAAACAGAAACATTAAGTTTTCAAGTAGAAGAAGCTATAAAGCTATATGTTCCAAACAACAATACTAAACTACTAGTTCCTATCTTGGGCAATTAAATACAAGTCAATAAACGGTACTTGTTGCAAATGATCGTATGAAATTTATGTTTTATAATTACCCCCACAAAATTTTGAGGCCAGCAAGTCAAAAGCAAGGGGCTCTAGCTAGAACAAATTCCCGTTATAAACCTTAGCATTAGCCACCTCCAAAATACAGGATATCACAACCTACTTAATTCATATACATGGAGAAATTATATTAATTTAAAATATAATACCATCAAGTATACTAAACAGTCTGCATTCAAAATAAACTCACATGTCATAACTTTGGGCCTCAGCGGAAGTGGACGCAGCAGAAGAAGCCATAACGAACAAAAGCAAGAACAGAGAGAACGCCCGGAGAAGAAGATCAAGAACCAGAGCAAAAGAATGAGCAATGAGCATCGAGAGCTAGTTAAACAAAATTTTTACTCCTTTTGCCTTTTTCTTTTGCTATTTTCTTTCTTTTCTTTTTGCAAAATATTTTTTCACTTATTTTTATTTTAATAATTAGGAGTTTAAATGCCTTTTGAACAATTATAGGTCTCGGTCTTAGGCTAGAAAAACTGCGGCACAAATATTTTCACAAAATAAGAGGTGTTCACATGCATGTTCTCACTAGTGCTTCACAATTTTATAGTATTTTTAGGTCAAATTTTTAGGCACTATTTTCTTTTGTTTTTCTCATGCATTAAAAACACATACACCTCTGTTTTGTATCTGTGTTTTGTATCTGTTTTGTATCTGTTTCAGCCACACATAAGACTCAAAGAAACCTAATAGGAATTAGTGTTTAACAATTTTTTAGACAAAACTTTTAACAAGACATAATAGAAACCTAACTCTAGGAAATTTGCTAGAACTAATAGCAAATTATGAACTCAAACATGTAAAACAAAAGCACATATAGGTAGGCACAGATTTATAAGAAAATGACGCACCAAACAAAGTTTCACAAATAACACAAAAAATTAGGTCAAACAAGCTAGTCTAGGAATTTTCAACATGTAAAAGGACTAAACATGACTTCTATGACAAAAAAAAGTGATTCAAAAATAAGAACAATGATAAATGAATGTTGTCCAATCACGGACACATGTTAGAGAATTGAGAGACTCAATCAAAACACAAAACGCACAAGTTTAAGAGAATCTAAAAGCACCAAACCGAATTGATTCACAAGAATAGGAAACAAGCAAAAATGAATCAATTAATTCATACATGACATATAGGATCCATCAAACATTGTATTAGAACTAGATCCATGCAACAAACACAAATTTAGACATAGGAGAAGGAAGATACAACACGGATTCACACAAAAAAAGTTAGAACACAAAACCTTAAGAGCACTAGGCTCTAGATACCAAAAATGATGGAAGCACTTGGACAAGATTGATGTTCTTCCAAGCTTCCATGCAAGGACCGAAGATGCTCCTTGAGGTTGACACATTTAGAACATGGAGAACTCCTTTGAAGAACCTTCAATGGAGGAGAAGCTCTTGAAGAAGGTTCGGTTACTCCTTAGCTTGTGAAGGAAGCTTGAGGAACCAAGGCAAAGTTGAAGAACTTTGATAGAAACCTTAGAGAGAAAATTCTCCACGATTTTTAGGGACTCTTGAGTGAGAGAAATCTGAAGTTTTATTTCTCAAAATGTTCAAAAGTGAATACAAGTGAAGAGATTACAAATATATAGGAAGAGGTAGCTTGTAGTGTAAGCTAACCTTAACCATGGTTCATTAAGAACCATGGTAAGGTGTAGCTAACCATCCATGGTTTCTAAAACTTGTAGGAGAAGCTAACCTTGACCATGGTTCACTTAAGAACCATGGTAAGGTCAGCCAAACCTACTAAGGTTTAGAAGCTTGGAAGGAAAGCTTCAAAGCTTGTAGGAGAAGCTAGAAATTTTGGCCAAGAACAAGAGGAATGAGCTAGCTAAATCACTTTCAAAAAGGAATGAGCTAGCTATTTCAAAAATATTTGATTTGGTTTAGTTAGGTTCATCATATGATGATGAGACCTAGCTAAATCAAATCTATAAAAAATTAGGAGCAAAATGAGTCTAATATGCAAAATTTTGCCTAGGCCCAGTTCTGGCCCAATTACAAGTTACACCCTCAAGCATTGCTAAATGCCACCCCTTTTTCCCTACTGAAAAAATATAAAATGAATGTATCAACAAAAGAGGTTAACTGGATTTAAACTCTCTAGGTAACCCACCCTAAAAATAATATACAATCACTAATAAAAGCAAGTAAAGTGCCTCACAAATACAAAGGCAAAAATAAGCCTATACAAAGCAACTACTATATGTACAAACATATGAAAAGGTCTTTAAGATCATCCCATTCCTCTTGGTTCTTTTAAGATATCACCTCTTGGATTCCTTGGCCTTGGCCATAGTCTATCATAACTAGATCATGATGTACCCACCAGACGAAGTGCACACATCGTTCATCACTGACCACGCCAATTTTTTCTACTGAGTGATGCCATTCGGTCTAAAAAACGCAGGGGCCACTTACCAACGATTGATGGATAAGGTTTTCCACCAACAGATTGGGCGGATTATGGAGGTCTACGTTGACGACATGGTGGTCCAAACCACTTCCACCGAAGGTCATGCTGCCGACCTGGCCGAGGTGTTCAGTCAGATCAAAATACACAACATGCACCTCAACCTAGAGAAGTGTGTCTTCGATGTCCAGGGAGGTAAATTCCTTGGTTTCATGATCACCAGCAGAGGCATTGAGGCCAACCCTGAGAAATGCAAAGCCATCATCCAAATGCAGAGCTTCTAGACTGTGAAAGACCTCCAGTTCCTGGCAGCACTGGCAGGAAGGTTGGTTTCTCTTTCACGTTTTATCCCCAGGTTGGCGGAGAAGGCAGGGCCCATCTTCACCCTGCTGTGAAAGCCAAAGAACTTCGAGTTGACGGACCAGTGCAAAGAGGCTTTCAAGAACTTCAAAGTCTTCCTCACGACTCCGCCAGTCCTCCAGAGGCCGGATCACCATGCCGACCTCCTCCTCTACCTGGCCGTGGCAGAAGGCACAATTAGCTCAGTCATAGTACAAGAGCACCAGAAAGTGCAGACGCCAATCTACTTCATCAGCCGAGTTCTCCAAGACACGGAAAAGTGGTATCAGATGATTGAGAAGCTCGCACTGGCACTTGTCACCTCAGCTCGGCACCTCCGACCTTATTTTTAGAGCCACCAGGTGGTCATCAAAACCGACTACCCAATCAAGCAAATCCTGAGAAAGTCAGAGCTCGCCGGACGGATGATAGCATGGTCGGTAGAACTGTCCGAGTTCAGCATCAAATATGAAAGTCGTGGCCCCCTGAAAGCTCAGTGCCTTGCAGACTTTGTGGCCGAACTAACGCCAACCTCGACCGACGAACATCAGGTATGGACTTTACATGTTGATGGGTCCTCCAACTCTAAGGGTGGTGGTGCAGGTATTATCTTGGAAGGGCCGAATAAGGTCACCTTAGAGTAATCTTTGAAGTTTGGCTTCAAAGTGACCAACAACCAAGCAGAGTATAAGGCGCTTCTCGCAGGGCTAAGGTTGGCTCACGACCTCAGAGCGCGGAGAGTGAGTTGCAACAGCGACTCAAACCTCATGGTGGAGCAGCTCAACGGGGCATATCAGACCAAAGACACCTTACTGTAGAGGTACTTCCATGTAGCCTCCCAACAGATCTCCTCCTTCGAAGAGTTCACAATCCACCATGTACCCCACGAGCAAACCGTGAGAGCTGACCTCCTGTCCAAGCTCGCCAGCACGAAGCGCCCCGGGCAACATCGGACTATCATACAAGAAACACTAAACTCGCCTAGTCTGGAGAACAAGGTCGTCAACACCAGTGACAACACAGACCAAGGATGGATGACAGATACTTAGAACTACCTGAAGCAGGGAATTCTACCCGAAGATAAAGGTGAAGCTCGGAAGATCAGGGTAAGGTCAGCTAAGTTCGTCATTGTCAGAGACGAACTGTTCAAACGTGGCATTTCCACCCCGTTGCTCAAATGCTTAACAGAGCCTCAAGCCACTTATGTCATCGAGGAGATCCATCGAGGGATATGCGGTATGCACTCCGGAGCACGCTCGATGGCGACCAGGGTACTCCGAGCTGGGTATTACTGGCCCACACTAAAGTCAGACTACCAAGCCTACGTACAAAGATGCATGGAATTCCAATAGTTTGGCAATGTACATTGGCAACCGCCTGAAGCCCTCTACCAGTGGGGAATGGACATCCTCGGACCATTTCGCCCCGCGAAGGGTCAACTCAAATTCCTCATAGTGGCAATCGACTACTTCACTAAGTGGATCGAGGCATGCCCACTCGCCAAAATCACCACTGAGAACGTACAGAAGTTCACCTGGAAGAGTATCGTATGCAGGTTTAGAATTCCAAAATTCCCTTGTTACCGATAACGGCCGACAGTTCATTGCGCAGAGTTTCGAGGACTTCCTCCGCGAACTCGGAATCAAGCCCCTCCTGACCTCGGTGAAACACCCACAGACAAATGGCCAAGCCGAAGCTGCAAACAAGGTGATACTCCGAGAGCTCAAGAAGCAGCTAGGAAGCGCCAAAGGACGTGGGCCGACGAGCTTCCCAGCATCCTCTGGGCGTACCATTGTACCCCCCAATCGACAATGCAGGAAACACCGTATAGGCTAACCTATGAAGCCGATGCCATCATCCTAGTGGAGGTCGGCTAGACGTCTCATCGACGTCATGTCTTCGATAGTGAGCAAAACGCCCAGGAGACAGTGGTCAACCTCGACCTCATTGACGAGCTCAAGGAAGAAGCCTGGATTCGTGAAGAGGCCTGCAAGCTTCGAGCCTCCAGAAGATACAACACGCGAGTTTGACCTCGATCTTTCCGGGTCGGATACTTGGTGTGGCGACTACTAGGCGAAGCACGAAGAGACCCATCAGGGGGGAAACTTGCACCCAACTGGGATGGCCCATTTCGAGTTACAAAAGACTTAGAAAATGAGGCATACTGACTAGAAGAACTCAGCAACAAAGCCATCCCGAGAACTTGGAATGCTACGCATCTCAAGTTCTATTTCAGTTAAATTTGTACGAATGAGTTGTGCACTCTTTTCCCGACTCAGTCTTTTGTCCCAACAAACAAAAAAATGGGTTTTGGCTGAGAGGGTTTTTAACGAGGCACACCCATAACATTAATAAAATGACTCATTCCATTCATGACTTCTTGAGTTTACCCTGTTTTATTATAAAATGCATTATCTTAAGTCGAGGTCGAATTCAAACCTTGATACGAATAGTTTTATCTTAAGACGAGGTCGAGTCCGAACCTTGATACGAACTATCAACCTGAGGTCGAATTTGAACCTTAAGAACAAAATCTTAACCCGAGGTCGAGTTCAATCTCGGTACACATTATTTCACTTTACACTGAGGTCGAGTTCGAACCTTAGTATGAATTGTTCTATATTTCCCGAGGTCGAGTTCGAACCTTAGTATGAATTGTTTCATCTTATGCCGAGGTCGAGTTCGAACCTTAGTATGAATTGTTTCATCTTACCCGAGGTTGAGTTCGAACCTTAGTATGAATTATTTTATCATTATGCTAAGGTCGAGTTCGAATCTTAGTGCGAATTATCCTATCCTATACTGAGGTCGAATTCGAACCCTGGCGCAAATCACTTTAAGCTAAGCTAAGTTTAAACGTGTTCTCAAACCACAAAAAACAGGCAAAAACCAAGCCTAAAACATGAGCGCAAAACCAAAGGTAAAAATAAAACCATCAAAAGCGCACGAAAAATAATATATACACAGCAAGTTTGCAAGGACAAAAGCATGAACCCAAAGGGAAAGAAAAAAGAACAAAACAAACTAAGCTATTACAAAACCCAGCAGCCTAGGCAGAGGCATTCTCACTTGAGCTGTCCGGGAGGTCGTCTTCCTTCACCAGCCACCCGAAGCGCACCTCTTTTTCGACATGCATGGGTGAGAAGTCGACCCCAGGAGCCAGCAACCTCGCCTGACGAGCTGCGTTGACAAATCCCTTCTTATGCTCCAGCAGGACAGCTCACTCAGTCTCAACAAGCCTCCTCTCCACCTCCGCCTTAGCCGTAGCTAGCTTGTCCAGGTCTTCCCTTAGAGCTGCGACCTCCTCTTCTTTCTCACTAAGAAGCACCTCATCACACAGACGCTTCTCGACCGCTTTTTTCAGGTCAGCCTTCAACGCAAAGACCTCGTCCTCCAGGGAGCGTGCGCGACTTCGAGAGGAACTGGAAAGCTCTTGAAGCTCTCCAACCTAAGCCGCGTAGACCTCGTTCGCCCTCATAGCAATCTCCAAATATTTCTGAGTTCGGGCGAGATCCCTCCTGGTGGCTTGTAGCTCGGCCTCATTCTGCCTCTTGGCCTCGCCGAGTCCAGCTCCTAAGGCCCGATTCTCCTCCTTTAGAGGCTGGACTCGGCCCTTCATCTTCTCAAGGTCACCTTGCTGCTTGGACCACCTGTGCTTTCAGTGGTCCAGAATAGCCATCGCCCTCTGCATAAAGACCTCAGCAAAGTCAAGGCCCTCCACTGGCCCGACCTTCTCGATCATAGCCTGATCGGCCGAGCGCAGCGAACCCTTGGGGTAAAAGGTCTCAGTGGTCACCCCCGAACTCCACAATGAGTCTATATCCGACGATGCGCTCACATGATCCAACCGTGTCAAAGGGCGATCCTTGTCGAAGCGTTGAGCAATGTATTTACCCTTGGGGGCCTCCTTCGACGGACGAGACGGCGGCGTCGAGGACGCAGGGGTAGGCGTTGGGACCTCGGAGCTCGACCCCTCTCTACGGACCTTGGTGGGATTCGGGGCAGAGGCCGCCTGCGTAGCAGTGGGAGCGGTCAGCCCTGGCGTATCCGAGCTCGGCGCCGCCTGGACCTTGGCAGCATTTGGCTCAGGCCTCGCCTATAAAAGACAAATATTTTCTCCTAAGTCACAAAACAATAAGACAGGCAGTATAGAAGTAAAATCACAAGGAAAGGCACAAACCTTGGTGGCATGGGCAACCTCCTCAACGGCCACTTGGGAAACTCCCTCAGGTGGAGGACTCCCAGTGAGGTCGACTGCGTCGGCGTCAGCAGCCTGCGAAGTCACCTCCTCCGCATCTCGAGGGGCAGAGGTCCCCCTGACCTCCTTCTCCCCCCTCTTTCTTTTTCTGCGGGTCTCCAAGGGGGCAATCTCCTTCTCTTGAGGCTCATGGACCTCGATCTCGGCAACGTTATAGCGAGACTTCAACTCGCGCCACTTGCTCCTTCCCATTATGCCTGCAAGTATAAAAGCCAAATACATCAGTAAAAGAAAATTCTACGAACCCTGACAAATAAAAAAGACGAGATACTCGCTCTCTAGACCCCTTTCCTTGTACGCCGAGTTAGCAAGCGACAAAACGAGCTTGCAATCCAAGGGACGAGGAAGCGCTTCTAGGTCTTTAGTGGCAGCAGCGTCCGAGGTCGTCAATTAAAGGTTGGCCGACCCGTTAAACCTGACCGAAGCCTGCTGCTAGTAGAGTGGGAACCTCGATAATCCGCCGAAGTGGAACACCTCATCTTCCAGTGGGTCGACCTCCTTGGGCAGAACCTAGAAGAACTCTTGTTTGAAATTCTTGTAAGACTGGGAGTAAAGAGAAAACAGCCCCCTAGCCTTACTCCCATTCAAAGACACCCAACCATAGGGAGGTACGCCCAATTTCAGTTGATAAAAATGAAGGAAAACAGGCAGAGACAACCCTATCCCTAAGGTCGAGCACAGGACTTGAAAAGCCCTCAAAAAACCCCAACTATTGGGGTGCAACTGGCAAGGAGCCGAGTTGAAAAAATTCAAAAAATCGCATTCAAATTAGGTAAAGGGAAGGCATACGCCTAAATCCCTAAAGAAACACTGGTACATATAGAAAAAGGAGGATTGGAAGTACCCCCCATATATACACGCTCGCCGGGCTGACAAGGTTCAAGCCGAATGAGCTTAGAGATGGACGATTGACAGATCTTGTGCGATTTCCACATCGCATTGATCTCCAAGAACGACTTAAAGACGCTCTGGAACTCACCGACGTCACCCCTGACCCACTCGTAGCCAGAGATGACGGGGAAGGGTTCCCTGGGTTGGTTCCCCCCTTTTTTCCTCTCAGCAGCGGCCGTCTCGACGGCCACCCCCTTGCTGCGCGCCTTGCCCTTGCCCTTGGCCGGAGCAGAGGGGGCCGCGCTGCTATCACCAGTCATCGAAAGGTAAAAAGACTCAAGGAAGAAGGAAGGTGAAGAGGAAGAATGAGAAGAGAAGACAGAGAGAACGAAGTACCTAGTACTCCTTTGGTAATGACAGAACAGTGGAAATACAGGGACCTAATTACCATCGGAGACCCGATTTTCGGTAACGGCGATGAAAGAACAGTAACGAAGGATGGGAACTTGGTTGCCGGAAATGGCGACAAAGGAGAACGGAGACAAGAAAAGAGAAGACGGAGAGTGGACAGAGGAAAGTGAGGAGGCGTCGAGAACAAGCCAAAGGAAAAGTGTAAAGTGAAGGGAGAAAGGCACGAGAGAGAGACAAAAGAAGTCTCATAAATTTGAAAACACACTACACGTGGAGAGAGAGAAAGACAGGACTGACAACGCATTAATGGGGCCCCATTATGATGAAGCATGACCATCATTACATAACTGACACCCCCATTATCACGCCGCCTGCGTGTTTCGAAACACGAAGTGACGGTTATGACACATGTCATCAAGATAGAAAGGCGTATGCGAAAAGTCACGGCCCCTTGTCGAGCTCGGCATTAATTCGAAGCTTAGGGGGCTAGTGTACTATCCGTATCGCTAGCGCAGAACGACCTCGGATATGCACTAGGCGACGTCAGCCCGACACCCAAACAGATTGTAACCGATCTCAGGCCTAAGGCTCAGAAAAACCCTAGTCTACACAAAGGTACGTGCATTACTTATACGAGACTCATACATCCACAATCACTAACTTTAGCATCGGAGTCTCTTTTGTAGGTACCACCCCCACTTGGCACAGCAACCGTACCCAGCGAAGGAGGCTCACCGATCTTGTCCAGCAGATCGTCCCTACGACCGATCTCCGATAAGAACAATATATATATATATAT